TTATCAGTAATTATTATTTTAGATAATGAAGAAGAATATAAAGTTGAAAATATTTTTGACAAAAGAATTTATTATCATAAACTTCAATATCTTATTAAATAGCTCAGTTATTCTTTTTATAATATAACTTGAAAATCTCTAGAAAACATGAAAAATATTATGAAGAAGATTAATATCTTTGAAAAATCACATTCTTGAATATAATAAGAATATTGTATTTTAAGTAGAGAAATATGTAATAATTTTGATTAAATTATCTTTCTTTTAGATTCTTTTAGTTTAGATTTTTATTTGTACTATCTGTATTACAGATTAGCTTTATATTATACTTTTTAGAAGATTAATTTCATATTAGATACACAGATGATCATTATGTATTTAATATATTAGATTTAGCATATTATTATGCAAATAATCACTATATATACCTATATTAGATTATTAATATTTTTAATTATATTTATTATTAATATTTTCTTTATATTTTCATTCATTCTTCTTATTTATTATTTATATTATTATTTATATTATTTATAATTATTAAATTATGATTAGTTGTTCTCTAAAGATATGAATCAAGTTAATTAATTATATTTAACACATATATATTTTAATTAGAACTTTATTATTAATTTATTTGTACTTTATATTTATTTCTTTACTATAAATATAATCTATCTGTTCTGTAAATTATTCTTCAGATCTGAATACTTTTAAATAATAAAAATAATCATAAGTTATAAAATTAAAATTATTCATATTGCATTTTATCTTATTTACAATCATTAATAAAATAATCTTATACTAAATCAAATTAAATATTTTATAAAAGATTTTAAATCTATTACTAAAAATAGAAATTAGTTATTAGATATCAAAAATCTTAGAAGAAGCTTGAAAATTAGTTATTTATTATAATATTATAATATATAGATAAAATAAATTTTTAGATCTATTAAGCAGATATAATAATAATAGTTATCACTTATAAAATTAATATAGAAGTTATCAGAATAATAACTCTATACTAATGAAACTTGATCAAGTAGAAAGTTATTATAATAAAAGAAATAATAATTAGTAAAAGAATAATAAGTTTAAAGATATATATTATAATTATGATAATCAGATCACTTTATAAAGAATTATTATTTTAAATCAAAAATAAAGATAAGAATAGACAAGAATTTTCTTGATTTTATAAAAGAATAAAATTTATTCATTTAGAAGATGATTATAAAAGATTATTAAAGTTTAATAATTAAGTAAATAGTAAATTAACATGAATTTTACTAGATAATAATGCATCTAAAAACTTTATTAATAAAAAATTTTTATAAAAAAATAAAGTAAAATTACAAAAAATAATATTAATTATAGTAAAACTTATTGATAATAAAAAGATAATAGTTATTATCATAATAAAAATTGATAAATTAAAAAATACTATCTCAATTAATTATAATTTATAATAATTAATTAGAGAATTATAATCAATTATAATAGCTAATTAGAGAATTATAATTAAGTTATGATATTATTTTTAAGTTAGATATCTATAAAATATATAAGATAAATATATAAGTATTAAAATAATAGAAATATAATCTTATTCTAGATAAATATTAATTATTTTATATTAATCTAATTATAAATTAGAGAAATAATATCATAATCTTTACCTATGAATCAAAAATAATTAAAATATAAGTAAATAATAAAGTAAAATCTGACTCTAGCTATAATTTAATATATATATCAAGATAATAAATTATAATCTATCAGCAGATATAGAACTCTTTATTATATATTTTAATAATACTAAAGATAAAAAAATATACTTTTATTAAAAATATTAGAAATAAAAAAGAAATATAAAGATGTATTTTCTAAAATCTTGTTAAATTAATTATCACTTAAAAAAATAATTGATCATAAAATTAATCTTATTCTAGAATCTGAATTACTATTCAAATTTATTTATAGACTTTTATTTATAAAGATAAATAAGCTTAAAAAGTAATTAGCAGATCTTATTCAAAAAGATTTTATTTATCTAAATATTTTATTTTTTAGAATATTAATTCTTTTATATATAAGAAGAAAATATACTAAGATTATATATAGATTATAAAGTTTTAAATAAAATTATAATTAAAAATTATTATTCTTTATCAAGAGTTAATAAGTTTATAAATAAACTTACAGATTTAAAATATTTTTTTAAGCTAAATTTATATTCTGAATATTATCAAATTTATATAATAGAGAAAAATATATATAAAATTATCTTTAAAATTTATTATAATTACTATAAGTTTCTAATTTTATTTTTTGATCTTATTAATATTGTTATCTTTTTGATATGAGTTCTGAGGTGAGGATGAGTATTAAATTTAATATTATAAAAGCACATGATAAAAGTGATCACGTGCTTATAACAATATTTAAAAGAGTCTTTAAAAAGGTTTATTTGACAAGAATATATCTATTATTATTTCAAAGTTAATCTAAAGATAGGTAATGATAGTATTCTTATTGTGACTAGCTAGAATATAATTTAATTCCAAAAATATAATTTCAAGACAAATGTGATATTCAGTTTATTAATAAGACAAAATAATAGATCTTAATCAAGATCTATTCTACAAAAAAGATTTCTTAGAATTCTTTTAAAACTATAATCTACTAAAATACAAATTGAAACTAAACTCATAGAACTCAAACTAACTAACTAATTAATAACTATCTTATTAACTTATTAACTATCTGACTATCTAAATTCACTAGTTAAGATATATCACTTTTATATATTTTAGGAATTATATGAATAATACTTTTGTTATGATACTTATACTAGTTTTGCTATGATCTAAATATTACTTTAGTTAGTATCATAATATTGGTTTTATTATGATAGTATTATTAGTTTTACTATAATAGTTTTGCTAACTTTACTATGATAATTTTGTCATGATCATTATATTTATGAAATCTTCTAAAAATATCTACAAATAATATTTTTTAAAGCTAATATCCAATAAGATATAAAGAATTATTCATCCAATCATATTATAATATAAAGTGATCAATAATAAAATTAACTAATATTCTACTAAAAGTTCATATTATAATAGTATATCATAAGTTTCTGCTTTCTTGGCTAGAATTGAAAGATGTACTCTTTTTTTCTTTTATTTCTTCTTTTCCAAATTAATCTTGTCTTCTTCTGGTATTTTGGATAAATATTGAATAACTTTATTTTCTTTTTCACTTTTTTCTTCTTCTTTGATAACTCTAGCTTATTTTCTTTCTTCAGCTAGATAATCATGGATTACTAATAATGAAAAACTAGATTGAGTAGATAAATTACTAGATAGATCATTATCAGATGTTTATAAAGCAGCTGTTAAATTCTGAGAAGAGAAGTAATATTCAGATTTTGTGAATCATTAGATTGCTAATTATTGTTTTGGATATTTTGATTCTGTTAATTATTATGATTATTATTATTATTCTGATTTTGATTATTTCAATTTCATGAGATATTTTGATTATTGGATAACTAATTTATAGGTTAAGAGTTATTTAGACAAATTCTACTGACATATCCTTTTTTTCCACAACTGTAACAGGTAATAAGAGATCTGTCTCTTGACTAATTTCATTGCTAATTATTATTACTATTCTGATTATTGTATCTTCTATCAAATTCTATATGATTTAATATACTAATCAGATTTTACAAGATCTTAGCGAGGATATTCTATTTATCAATTAGTTGAGCTTGAGTTTGGTGATAAGTTTGTTTAAGTGGGTTTTAATCAATTCTTTCATATTCTTTGCAATTTCAATAATACTTTTCATTATATCTTTAGCATTGAGGTTAATCCATTTTTAAATTTCAGATTTAAGATTTTTCTTGAAAATTTGAATCTTATATTCTTCTGAATAAGCTCATTCTGGATCTATTTTGCTTCTTAATTTCATAAATCAATTTACATATTCTTCTACTATTCCAGTTTATTTCAAGAATTCTAATTCATCTTGCTATTATTGCATCTTACAAGATAAACAGAATTTAGAATAAATTAATAAGAGAAATCATATTTATCATAATTCTCATTTATCTATTCATTTAATCTGAGGGTGTCACTCATAGATCATTAGTCAAACAGACAGTAGCTGGTTCCTCTAGATATTCTCTTACTATCTTGATTTTTCTGTTATTGATAATTCCATTGACTTTGATGGCTACTTCAAAGTCATATAATTACTTAATTAGATCCTAATTATTACTCTTAAATTTATAAATTGGAATAAGAATCTTTTCTATTCTTTGTATCTTCATAGATCAAGTTAATTCTCCAAGAGCTTGAATGAGACTGTCTATTCCATCTGACATAATGATTTCTTTCTTTGATTAAGACTTTTGAGATTAAATTTGTTCAATTATAACTATTAATTCTTCTGAATTTTCTGAATCACTACTTTCATATTCTAATTTTGTTGGCTAATTAGTTGAGAAAGTTTTAAAGTTATCTGTCTCTTCAAGAACAAGAAGAATACTGTTGACTAGGTAGGTTTATTGTTCAACTATAATTTTATTTCTAAATATGAAGATGTTAAGTAACTTGATAATTTCTTTTTGAAGTTGATTAGATATAAGATTTTGTTGTATTATATTATTAAAGAATTTCTGTGAGAGTCTATTGTAAGAGATCATGTGATAATCTTGAGTCCAGATAAGAAAATTTACAAATCTTCTATCTGAATTTTCATTTGTAGGAAAATAATAAGAGCAGTAATTATAAGATTCAATGTGAGGTAAGAATTTCAAGGATCTTTTCTGTCATGTTCACTGAGGTGTAGATCAATTAGAAGTCCAATAAAAGAGTAATATGTACTCATAAACTAATAAATTATTTAGATAACAAGGTATCTTAAGGGTAGCTAATCCTTAAAATAATTAAACGAATGAAACCCGTATTTCTTTTTGATCAACTGAATCTTTTCACGAATTCGTGGAGCATTGTGCTGGAACGAAGTGCTGGTCCTACAGCGATCAATTGCACACCAATCATCAATACTTATTTCATGATTGACAATATTGGAAAATAGTTGTCGACCAAAGAATATATTAAGTCGGACAGTTTGTGTTTCAATTTGAGACGGTTCAGATCTGTGAACTAAAGTACAGATGTCACCAAGACAATGACGTATTATCTTGGTAGTGTTAAAGCCTTGAGCGTTTGAAGGAAGACCATTAGAATCTTTAGATTTTGAAGGAAGACCACTTGACAAAAGTAACTTCGAGATAGCGGATGATAGATCATCATCCTCGTCTGAAGATTTTCCTTTCTTTTCTACGACAATCTCAGCAGTATATAAAGTATGATTACGTGAATGAAGATTTGCATCTTCCCCATCATATTTTCTGAATCGAATTTTGCTTCGCTTAATATCCATCAATTCTTCATCGAATTCCAAAAGATTATATCCCACATCAGGGACGACTTTATCCGGTTCTTTACTCAATATCTCTTGTATCAATGCTTTAGCTTTGGCACGTTCTGATTCTGTGCCTTTAATTAGCGCAACACCATCCTCTAAGAAAACAGAAGCACCGGTGGCTTCCCTTTTTAAAAAGTGAACATTGCGTTTATATACTGTACGGACAAACAAAATGCAATTTAAAACAATATAATAGCAACGATAATAGTAGCAATAACAGTGATAGTACGTATAGTATAATAATAATAATACACTCTTATAAATGCTAATATGATAGGTTAAAAATAAAAAACCTGATTCTTTTAAGATTGGAAGCACCACGCCCTATCACTAGTCCCGTCTTTTCTTTAGGTACAGAAATAGAAGAAACAGTCCCTGAACGTCGTAAGAAAGAAGACGACGAATAAGAAGAAGCAGAAGAAAAAGACATTGTAATTTGTCTAATATTTTGAAGGAAGAGTTGAGCAAGCCTTCCGGGGTTCGGCAGTCAAATCTACGCATATATACTTCCAACCTTGTGTTCCCAACATACTGCGCCTATGAATATCATTTGTGATTTCTACCGTTACTTTTTTGGGAAGGACTAAGCATTTTTATATTTTTATGTCATCAATAGTTTACTCACTAAATCCCGTGATCATACAATGAGATTTTTTATTTTTAAAGTTCGCGCTCGCGTGAGCATTTACTAATTTTCACCCGAAGTTTCTATTGGTTAGAGGAGATTCCAATCTCCGATTGGGTGAAATTGGTGACGTCACTTATCATTTGGATCAGAATGACTAGTAAAATGAGTTATACAGTGTAAAGTGTAAATTTATTAAAGTATATAAAGCAAAATAAAGATTTCAAAATCTATTTTGTCTTTTAAATTCTATTCTTGGTGCTATATTAGAGCTTTTTAGCTCATTACCACTAGCAACTTTTAGTATAATTTTGATCTTTGCAATTCTAATTCTTTCTATTTGAACAACTTATTAAATAGTTAATTGTAAATTATATCTTATTTCTCCTTATTCTTTCATTCTGTAACAATTACTTCAAACTCTTTTTATAACTTCTTAAACTTCATATCCTTATTATTTATCTCAGTATTCTCATTATTTATCTTGATGATCTCATTATTGATTTTAATAATTTTACTATTTGTCTTAATAATCTTGATAATTTCATTAATTATCTTTCTGACCTTAGTGATCACATTATTTATCTCAGTAATTTGATATTGAATATACTGGTCATTCTTTATGTTATTATTATGAACTTGAAATCAATACAAAATAGCAAAGATATATTTATACAATAATTGTCATACTTGAAAATTACAATAAAAACAGATATATAAAGTAACATTTAAATTATCTGTAAGATTTCTTTTTCAAATAGAATACTCTATATTATCATTTATTATTGAATGTACTATTCAAATATCTAAATTAAGATTATAAATATTATTTTCATTAATATATATGATTTCTGCAATCTTTCAGATCTACTGTTATCATTATCATAAATTTATTCTTTTAATTTTTAGATCATTCAAAAAAACTGAGAAATCTAAGTTTCAGAATATAATTTCTATAAGTAAATATACTTTACTATTTAACTGTTATTCTGATTATTCTCTTATATATATATATTTTAATTTATGATAAAATATCTTAATTAGATTATTCATATCTATTATATCTCTGATTATTTCTCTTAAATATATTATTCATTTCTCATATTTTGATTTTTACCAATATTCAAAGTAATTAGTAAAGCTATTTATCATTTTATTACTTATTTTTCACTATTTATCAATTATCTTTATAACTTGCTTTTATATTTTATTGTCATTCTAATCTTCTATTTTTATTAATCATTAAAGTTCTTTTCAAATAATTATTTTATGTAAATTAGTATTTATACTATTGTGATTATTTAATTTTTTGTATCAGGATCTCAGTACATAAAAATAGTATAGCAGAATTATACTATTAGAAAAGTACTTCTTGACTATTTTAATTTTTTATTAATCATAAAAATATTTGAACTTCACTCCTTATATTTGGCTTTTAAGAAATCAAGCTATTTTTTTAATATAATAGATTGCTTGAATTTACTAATAAGAAATATAATTGGATATTCACTTTTTGTTATTTGATATTATATAAGAAATATAAAAAGATGATATTCATATTGATTTAATCTATATATTATTACTTTTTTGATGTAAGTTTTGTTATGAGAGCAAGTCTTAAATCTAATATTACAAAAGCATATGATAAAAGTGATCATATGCTTAAAATAATATTTGAAAGAGTCTTTAAAAGATTTATTAACAAGAATATAAATATTATTATTTATCTAAAGATAGGTAATGATAGTATTCTTGTTGTAACTAGCTAGAA